GCAGCCCGAGGATATTTTGACATGTTTGGTGCGTTCACTGTGTGTGGGAGTAGCGGTTGCTGTTCGCTAACAATTTCAAAAGCGCTTTTGTTGGTACTTGAGCTCTTTTGTGAATTGAAACACAGTTGAGCAGCATCCAGAAGCTTCACCCAATTCTTCTGCGATCCGGTCACAAAGTGCCGGAGATATTCCTCTAGCATGCCATTGAATCGCTCCGTCTGGCCATCAGATTGCGGATGAAAACTTGAGCTATGACTCAATTTTGACCCGAGGCACTTAAAGAGTTGGGTCCAAAAATTGCTAGTGAAGCGTGAGTCGCGATCACTAACAATGTCTTTAGGTAGGCCCCAATATTTGACGACATGAGAAAAGAATAGTCGAGCTCTCTATTCTGCTGATATATATTGTGGGGCTGCTATAAAGGTAGCATACTTGGAAAACCGGTCCACCACAACCAAGATAGTTGTGAGATCTCCGACCTTGGGCAATCCGGTGATGAAGTCCAGGGAAACGCTTTCCCAAGGTCTTTTTGGGACAGCTAGTGGTTCCAAGAGCCCTGCCTACGTTAAGCGGTCTCACTTATCCTTCTGGCATACTAGACAAGTCTTCACATACTGAGCGACGTCATCGACCATTTGGGGCCAATAATATGCATGACAAAGCAATGCCATGGTGCGTTCCTCACCGGGATGACCGACCCACAAAGTATCGTGGCATTCCGCCAGAAGAGCCCTTCGCAAATCTCCTCCTTTTGGAACATAAAGTCGGTTCCCTTTCACTTTCAGGAAACCATCTTCGGTATAGAACTGGCGAGTCTTGCCCTGTCCTACCAAATCAACCAAAAATTGTGTAGCAGGATCCTTGATGAGTAGATCCTGTATTTGGTCTTTTATGGTGGTGGTTACTTCGCTTCCCTTTAGGGCGGCGAGTACACACACCGATGCTAGATCAGCTCTCCGATTGAGTGCATCAGCAACATGATTGGTCTTCCCACTTCGGTACTCCAGGTTAAAGTGAAATTCTGCTAGGAGTTCCTGCCACCTAGCCTGTCGACCATTAAGCTTTGGCTGGGTCATGAAATGGCTAACGGCTGTGTTGTCTGTCTTGACCACGAATGGGGCTCCCAGTAGATAATGCCTCTAAAGGCGTAAGCAATGAACGACAACCAATAATTCTTTCTCATGGGCGGCATAGCACCGCTATGCATCCTTCAGTTTCCGGCTCTCGTACGCTACGGGGTGCCCTTCTTGTAGCAATACTCCACCAAGTGCATAGTCGGAGGCATCCGTTTGCACTTCGAATGGCTTGGCCAAGTCAGGGAGGGCCAATACTGGGCTACTAGACATAGCCATTTTCAAAGCGTCGAAGGTCTCTGCCCGCTTGGGGCCCCAATCCCACGGTGTGACCTTCTTAAGGAGTTCTGTCAGCGGCACTACAACAAGGGAGTAACTTTTCACAAAACGCCGATAGAAGTTGCATAGGCCAAGGAACGACCTCAAGCCGAGGATATCCGTAGGAGGCGGCCATTCTGTGATGGCCTGAATCTTCTGTTGGTCCATCTTGATCCGCCCTTCCTCGATGACATGTCCGAGGAAGTCGATTTGGTTCTGAGCAAAGGAGCACTTGGATAGCTTTGCATATAATTCGTGCTCCCGCAATCGGTCTAGGACCTTCCGCAAATGCTCCAGGTGTTCTTCCAGTGTCTGGCTATATACCACAATGTCATCCAAATAAACCACGACGAATTCATCAATGTATTCTCGGAAGACTTGGTTCATCAAGGTGCAAAATGTGG